TGAGAGGGTCGAGGAGTGAGAGGAAAGCCATATAAACGACGAGAAAAGAGATGATTCCGATGATGAAGATGACAACGAAGCGGATGGTCGACGTGTTTCTGCTCTCATACTTGCACTCACATCGGGGACAGAACTCTTTGGCCTTGTCCTGGATGTCGACATCGAGTTGTGGCAAAACCACGTAATCACAGGTACAGCGATCCAGACCTATGTTCTTGATGTACAGCTTCCGATTGGACGCACGCGAGCCGTTCGTCACCACTCCTACCACCGGACAAACACACTTACACCGGAAGTCCTCGTACTCGCAGTCGCAGCCCAGCGCCAGACACACCAACACCACACACACCACCGCCACCACTGACTCGCACCACGACATCACACAACACTTGATCCGCATTTCAGACAATTATTCAGTCAATCAATTATTGTATGTTTTTTGCGTTCAAAACATTTCCATTAATGTTTACATTACGATAGAGTCGTTCATAAATAACGTGTTCGTAATATTGGGCCACAAATGCTGTGATATTTGTTCGCAATTTAAGACTAAATTGTATTGCATTTAATGACTCATTCATTAGTCGAAAGTGGGTTTACTGTTAACACAACTGATGGCCACTCTATGGATAAGGAATGGGGTGTCCATTGACTAACAATTCATTAGTTTATTATACAATTGTATATTCAATTGTGTGCACCCATGCAGTCACTGTATTGCAGTGTATAAGAATTGAATTCCAGAATAAGCATGGTCATCCAATTAATTACTAAATGCAGTTAGAAGTAAAAGTGGAATTCCCAATTTAGATGCAATACATGGTCATATTTAGGATAACCAAGTGTACCCACATCATATTTGAACATAATGGCCAAATTGCTATTCTATATAATTAACATGAAAACTATGAAAGAATTTACATTCTTAGTAAACTACAGAACTCAACAATTTTATATCATAAAACTATCTTGTTGCAAAAAACTATCTGTTATTTTATAATATAAAATTTATGCTCAATTCAACTGTATCTAAGTTAATAAATGTTTAATAAAACTCTAAATCATTATATGTCTAATCAACAAAATTAATTATAATGTAATTTAAATTCAAATTATTATTTTAAATGATTTATTTCTACAACCAATGATTGTATAATTATTATGTGTTTAATAATATTCTGGTCATATTTTCTACACTTAAATTAATATAAATCATGTCAAAAGTCTAGCTTTGAACCATATTTACTAAATTCATGGTTTCATAAGTACTGGAGGTTTAATTGTACTTTTATTTTGAGCCATCATTTACTCAATTAAACACTCATTGGAGACAAAACACGAGTCAACTGTTTGTCACCAAATGTTTTGTCCCTTTAAATGCATTCAACTCTTAATCACATTAACATGTGTTCAAAGTGTGAGGTTATGAATACATGATTGCATTCAACTATACCTTCACCTCTGAGTCAACACTTGAAATGATGTGAAATCAAATGCCAGTTATTTAAAAATTGATTGTACAGTAAATGAGCGATACTATGAAACACTGAACGCCTATACCGTCAACACTAACTTCCATTGATTGCCAATTCATTTAATTCTATTTTCTGCCAAACACTCGATATTCTAATAAAAGATCAGTATTTTTACGTTTAATTATTATTTTCATAAATGATTCAACTTTTGTCGAGTATTTAAATAAACCAATAGTTGTTATGAAAGCAAAGGGTTTATAGAAATGATTGTCGACTGTATTGACTGAACGCCTGATTGAATGCGTACTAAACGTATCGTAAGCTTAAAGTTGTGATCATTTTGTGTGAAAAAACTGTGCGAAAGACATCTCCGGAAGTGATCCAAGCATTGAGTCATGTCTTTAAGCGGAGATAAAATTGACATAAACTGCGGCGCGTATGACATGAGGATCAACAACGAGCTGATCCACGGCATGACATCTCTTCACGTGTCGGCCGCCATCGACGCCGTGGAGACCGTCGACCGATGCGTGCAATTGGGCGCTGACCTCAACGCCCGCACCGGTCATCCGTCGGCTCCGTTTGGATCCGCGAAACGCTTCAAGAGATATACCGCTCTTCACATCGCAGTGATCGCCGGCTCCAGCTGCGACCAAACGCTTGATTGAGTTGAAGGCAGACGTGGAGGCCGTCGACCACTACAACCGCCGACCCATTGAAGTACCCCGATGTGAGTGCAAGTATGAGAGCAGAAACACGTCGACCATCCGCTTCGTTGTCATCTTCATCATCGGAATCATCTCTTTTCTCGTCGTTTATATGGCTTTCCTCTCACTCCTCGACCCTCTCATCCATAAACACGGTATCCATTGATTGAGACACTCTTTGCCTCCCATTCCTTCCCTAATGTCTGATTGAATGTCCAAAAGCTGTGGCGACCCGTAATTATGAGCAACACGTGGACGAAGAGGTCTCTATGGATGAACAGGTGGTGTCGGACACGGATGGCATCACACGAAGACGCGCCACAACTCCTGTTATGTAAGTTATTGTTGACAGCCTTGAGATCGGAAACTAATAATGCATTGATTGATGCGATGTTTGATTGTAACAGAAGTCCGACCACTTCTGGAGGACCGCCGCCTAAGAATATGCTGAACCGAGTCGGACAACAACAGACCAAATGGAAGAAGCAGGTGATTGAACAGCGCAAGAATATATACGACAAACACACCATGCTCAATTAATACATACATTAACACTGTATGTGTTGATTGTTTTATTGCTGTCTTTATAACTTTTATTATTTCTATTATAGCTATTATTTTACAAAATATACATTTATATACTGTATAATAGAAATTATTTATTGATTATTATTTATTAATATACTCTAAATTCAATTCAATTTAATTTCAATCATTGATTCTTCAAATGAAGTATAATTTGTAACTAAAATAATAATTACTTTCATTGATATATTGGTTATCACAGAATTGAATAGTATTGTGATAACTGTATTGTTTGTTAACTTGTAATAAATTAATTGATTTTTATTTAAAGAAGTGTTTATTTTTGCAATAAAAATCATTTTACGATTTAATTTGATTATAACAACAATTTTAATAATATTTATTGACATCAAAATATCTCAACTTGTATTATAATTTGTAATTATATTATTATTTGTATAATAATTATTAATTTAAATATTGTGTTGAATTTTTTGATTAGAAATAATCAAAAAATATGTTTTTTGCTGCAAATCGAAAGACTTGAATGACTGACAAATATATATCACTTATTTTGAAAAGACATTAACATTCAGTTTCGCTTTTGAACGCCACTTCAGGACTGCTCGGAGGTTCGGGTGATGTGGCCATCGCTCGACGCGACAGAATGGGTGGCGTCACCCGCGACGAAGAGGGGGGCAAACTCGACACAAAGCTCGCACTCGCTCTCCGGCCATAACTCACGACTGAGAATCTTCGGGGCGGAGGAGGTCTCAGCTCTCCGTCGTTGTCGTCGTCGTCTTCGTCCTAATTTCACGAAACAATTATTGGAATATTTATTTCGCAAAACAATTCAATGATAGGATTGAGACCTCAATATTGATGAGAATATTAGTCCCTTTATCTACAATCGATTTTCTTCGTCTCATTTCAAACAAAAGACCTGTGAATTCGTCTTTGAGTTCTTCGTATCTCTTGATGAAAGCGGGTTCTCCGGTATCGAACTGTTCGGTCAGTTTATGCAACTCATACTGGACTTCATGTAATTTGTTGGTCAGATCTATGACCCCATCGGGCGATGGGTTGGCATAAAGGGGTGATTCGAAAGGAATGTGACTCTTTCGCCGTCTCCGGGACTCTCCGGGAACTCTTCTACGGCTCAACAAAATGGACAGTCGATTGAGTTGTATTTTAAAAAGCTTTGCTAAACGTTTAGCACTTGGAATCAATTGGGATGTCGAGCAGATGGAGATATAAAGTTTACCATTAAATGAAAACACATTGAATACAAGTGAACAATAAGACGGCGCAGACATGAAGTATAAGACTTTGTTGAGACGATAGGAACCGATACTGACATTACTGTCCGGTCCACTGATATTACTTACATATAGAGAGGAATTTCTATTCACAATGTTAAGCAAAAATTTGTAAATTGAAAGCGGAAGCAAACGACTAAACAGATAGTGTGCACCTATTTATAGCGGGATAGGGTTGGGTCACAAATGGTTTGATTAATATTGATCAAGTGTCAAATGAAAACGTTATATCATTTAAATCTAAAAATAAGTAAATGTGTCCATACCGTACATGACCGCAGTGTCGGCCGAAGTCTTAAGCTCTTCCATGAGATGTCTCACTTCCCAGAGTCGGGGAATTGCGCCTATAATTGATAAAATGAAAACTTGAAAATTTAATCATTATTAATGTCAATAAAAATATTATTTTAAAATCTAATATTGTTTTTTGATTATTTGATTTAGAATTGATTGTAACGGAAATTAAACTAAAAGCCAAACCCTTATAATATTCTAGATTTGATATAAAATGCATGAATAGTGAGTTCACAAACCTTCAGTATTTGTTGGTATTGGAGATGTGACTGATATAAAGTGGTTCATAAAGTAGTTAATCGACGATTGATTTGAGAGAAAATAAAAAATATATGTATATATCTTGCATTGAAAGCACTTTAATATGTAAATAAATATAATATGTATATAAAACCAGAAATGTCAAAATGTTAAATTAACATTTACAGTTATTTTGATTTATATATCAATAATTATTGTCATACCTAAGACATAATTAACGCCCACAAGACTGTCGTCCGAGTGATTGTTTGGACAAATATCAATGGGAATCGATATATTAAGGTCGGGAGGGTTTAATATCTTGGCTCTCGTCGTGAGGTAAGCTCTTATTGATCCGGAGATCGTTGATATCAAGAGATCATTTAAAGTGCTATTCAATTGATAAAACAATTCAATCATAAATACAGAATATTTTTATATTCTTCTTACAGAATACAGGATATTAATATTAATACTATTGTATTGCCTATAATAAAACAATATCAAAATAATGATGGTAATAATGAATAGAATAATAAAATAAATTGACATTAATATAATAAAATAGTTATTAGTAAATTGACATTTATGTTACCTTCGTGTTACTTGCTTGACTCTGTAAACCCGGGGCAGATCAACAGCAGTCCAATAAATAGATTTGAATGATTTGTTTTTTGATTTCTTGAGGTAATTGTGATGTCTTCGAGTAAATGCCCAAACAATCCACAGGAAGAATGTGAGCGGACCCACAATTACAGCTCTGAATATATTGATGGGAAGAGTGGATCCGCCGAAACGGGCTTTGATAGTGGACTGCGGGGGCGGAGAATCGGACAGGTATTGGATGAGTATTGAGACGAGACCTGATTGAGAGAGGGACTGATGGACGCGAACGATAAGCACGACTTGATTGCAGTATTGGGCGAATGCATAGCGGATTTGCCACAAAGGCTTATCTGATGGAAGTGTTTGAGACATTAATTGTATGAGTCTTTGCCGCAGAGATTTTTTGTTGAGTATTGGCTCGTCTTCTACAATGTGTTCATCTAATGTATCGAAATTATGGTTGACTTTCCAATAGGGAGAGCGGGAAATGCCTTTATATATGAGACGAGACCGGAATCGTATGAGTTCTGGTCGGGCCAGGAGTCGGGTTGAGATGATGTCCCGTAACTGTTCAATAGACAAGCCTTTATCGATGTAGAGAAGGCAATGTGTGATGTGTCCGGAATTGAGCCAAAATGAATCAATGGGTCCGATCTTCTGGTGGGTCTCATTTGACAGTACATGACAGGCAAACACTCGCTTCACTAATACTGTGATCGGCACCAAAATGAACAGACATAACACTATCGGTACTCCACTTAGTATTGCCAATAATGTGAAGAATAATGTCAGTACGAAAATGCCCGCAATATTCCTGTCCAACGGGTGAACCAAATAATCCAACTTTTGGGCCCAAAGTATTGTTTCAAACGATACAAAATGTAATAAACAATAAAATGAATTTATTGTAATATATTTAAATAAATATTTATTCAACGCTTTATACTATTTATTATACGATCAATATTTGCCTCTTTTCAGAATATTCTCTATAATTAACAATAAATGCAAATAAATAAGACATTTAGTGTATTAATCATTAGCTTATATATAGAATATATTTAGCAAATAATTAAGTCCATTATTCACTACTAATACTGTTTTACTGATAATAATAATAATAAATATTTACTTCGTTTGTTTGAATATATCTAATCAGAGATTAAAATTTAGCATAAAATTTATTTTATGCCAAGTTTACAATAAAATTCTAACAAACAAAAAATTCATTTCAATGTTAAATTGTTTATTTTATATGATTTTTTAATGATTAATTTAATTTCATATAGCATTTCAATAATCACAGAATTAATGCTTGTTTTGTCAGCATTTTAGCTAATGCTGAGTATTTAAAATAAATATTCAAAATAATAGCCTAACATTACTGGTAACTGCAGTATTAATACAAGTGTTGAAACAATTCGTGAGCTGAATAAGAATTCGGCCTAAATATTGTGACTGAGATTAAAGTTTTAATAAATCTAATGGAAATTTAATGATGATTTTAGGGAGAGTTAAATGATTAGATGAATTCCTTCAGTTACTTATGAAAGCATTCATATTACTAGAAAGAGTGTTGTCATAAAACACTAGAGATTGCTCTCATATAATAATTATAAGTAATGTTTAGTTTTTATAAGACAATGCATTTGTTTGTATACCTGACATGATTTGATACCACCTGAGGATTTAGTAGTCGAAGGGATCTTAAAATTTTTGTTTGAGTTGTCGGCGAATGAGATCTTCGTTCGCTCGTTATCTTCCTCTTCATTGTTGTCAATGCTGTCAATAATGATATCATTTTTATCCATTATAGTGAAGAAAATGGAAAAATCTCTGGTAGAGAGTCATGAGAGTGAGTTGATTGTAGTGTTGCTCTCCATCTCATACAAAATTAAGTGAAAAGGATTTCCTAATAAAATAGATTCTAATAAATGGTTTGCATTCATAATACATGATATAACACAACATTAACATTACAATCGACACTAAATAGCGAATAAATAATGAATTGAATATATATTCTAATGATTATAGACAGGTATGTCAAACATTGATATTATTAATGAATACATTTTGTCAATTGAATCAATTAATGAGACTTTCGTAAAGCTTACACGAGTAGTGGAAACACGAAATATGAGTTAACAAATGCTAACAACTGCTGCAAACCTATCACTAGGAATGTAACGTTCACTCGACTCACAGCCAGAATATAATACAATTACTGGTTCAGACCATTCAAACCACATAATAGTAATACTCATATACAGTATTGTACTCTACATGAAGTACACCACTGGCTGTAAGTCACTGGTGATCATCACTTGTATCATATCTGTGGCGCTGGCATTGTGTGGATCTGTCTCTGTCTTTACGCTCTCGCAGTAGTCAATCGTCTCAATGGGAGCAGAGTTTGGATTCAAATGAAACAGATCTGCTCATAACGTACACCTAATTTAGTCCATTCTCTACTCCATCATCAATAATCAATCAATCATTTTGTCTCTAAATCCTATCATAGAGGGCATCGACTATACATTCCCAACACCTAACCATTGGATCTGCTCTACTGTATCCTCTTAGCCAACACTATGTCATGCAATAACAGCACACAACCAGAAATACCATTCATAAGACATTAAACGCTTCTATCGCTATACTGTGGCAATAGTACGGCAATAGTAGAGCCCAACCTAACGGCACTGAAGGCACTGGTGAGACAGTGTTGTACTCAATTGTAATGTTAACTCTTAACCACGCCTTTGCCTCTCATTCCTTATGTCTGTTCCCCTTAACGAGAGAGCCGGCGAAGCAATACAAGCAATACATTACTATCAGTACTACCAGTCCTACCAAAACATCGCCACTACTCTGACTCTCAGTTGTTGTGTCTCTGCTCTCCACCGAAACTTCACTTCCAATGTGTGCTCCACTGCTATAACCCATACACAGACTTGTTATGCTTATCACAGTTATCCCATCCATACATACATAGTATATACACACAAATTGTATTGAAATTTTGTTTTATTTATGCACATCTTCTCAGACACACAGTTCCTTCAACTTCTCTAACACTCGTTTCACTTATTTTTGCATTTTATTTAATATTCGTTTTGAAAGTGAATTTTATCATTAATTCTGGCATCGCTTGTGCTCTCTCAGCTCTCTATCACTCTGTGTTGTGATTCACAAAATTATATAAAATAATAATATTATTATTTTACACACTATTGGATGCGATTCTGGAATAAGGCATCAATTTTTAAAATTTACATCAAATGTAATAACAATTGAAAAATTGTTGATTATATTAAATAAATGTTTGAAATTAAAGAAAATGCCAGTCATTAAGCTGAGCATGAATACCATTATTAATATACTTATAGTTAAAGCAAACTTATTCTCGGTGAATATTTCTGGAGTGCCTTCGCTTTTATAAAAAACATTATCGTTAAGTTTTAGGTAAGTTTTCATAGTTTATGTTAGAATTATGCTATTTTTATAATAAATGTAAACTAATTTTATAATAATTGCATTTAAAATTAATAGTATTCTAATGGAAGCGAAAATGCAATTTATTAATAATGATTACAGTATGTCGTTTGACGGAGTGATGTAAATGTCTTTGTTGTTTATGTTTTTAATTTTATTTTCAAACATGATTTAAATGTCTATTCAATAATTGGTTTCTTATTTTTTAATATTAAAATGAAAATTGTTTTGTGGATTCATTTGCTTACGCAATGGCCCTAACCTTACGTACAGTTATACTGTAATAGCCGTTAGGTATGAATAAATCCATCATATTTTGTGCGAGTTATGAATCCCTAATATGTTATTATAATAACAGTTATATTCATTGCATTCAAGGTTAGTGTGTTTGAGAGGATCAACACTTCGCGTGAATTGTAATCATTTGCGGGGAATTATAATTGCATTCACTTATAACGGGCACTGAAATTATTATTTCATAAATCCATTAATGTTTCGTTTGTCAGAGATATGAAACAAAAAATAATTAAAAGCAATTAGAGCTCTAAATAATATAATCTCTCATTGAACTGAAATCTATTGATTTTTTTTCTAATTTAATAATTTTTATATTTCTATTCTGTGTCCTCATAAAAATCTATTGCATGAATTGAGTGCACAGGGAGTGTGTAGTTCACACACATATGTGTAATGCTATTACATGTTATTAGAGAAGTGCCCAAATGTAGACATATTTTGTGGACATGTGTTTCAGTGGCCTAAACATTGAATGAGAGAAAGAATTACACGAAACACACATTTTGGGAATAATATTTCAGATAAAACACATTTTGAATGCAAATGTTGTGCCGAAGAGAAGGGATCAGTTGACTCACGAAATGGTCGGACTCTCTGTGCTCTTTGCATACGAAATGATGTTTTCGCACAAAAAACTCTCATTTCCACCAAAAAATCATTTAATAACTTCTTTTGTGGTTTAGGAAAAGACTTGTATAATGTTCTCAAATAATACAATACAAAATGTGTACTAAATATTTATCTTACGTTTAATGTTACGTCAATTTTATAAGATTTAAAAAATTCACGTTAACATTAAATTAGTGGTTAATTTGATGCTAACAGTGAAAAAGAGGGTTAAATCAAATGTCAGTTCGTTTTTTCGCTTATCCGAAAAGATCACGAATTACTGTAAACATGAAATGGGAGGCAAAGACCAGAGCTATGAAAATATCGGTCTTTGTATCTGTATCTATGGCGTGGAGTTTGAGCGCAAATAACAAATAAATTAATAGATTATAAACTAAGATAAACATTAAAAGTTGTTCTCTATTTAGAGTTTTATAAATTTCTCGTTAAACTTCCAGTCGTAAGAGTGAATGAAAGTCTATATTTGTGTTACAACTCAAACAGATCACCAGTATTTCAGTATTTCTATGTAGAGTACAACTCTCTGGGAAGGGTATCGCTCTCTGCATATGTTCCTTAAGAGGTCGACCCTCTCCACAGTCTCTCCACCACTCACTCCATACCAAACATATCTTTTTACTTCTTTTTATGTTGTCTCCCGTTTTCCGCCAGAGATTACTCGCAAATATAGCTCTCATAAACAGTTTACTCTTCAATAGGGATAGTAGTAGTAGTGGTGGCGATGAAGAACTGGAGGGCAGTGTGTTATGTGTGTTGTTATCCTAAATACTGATGCTGTTTGTGAGCGTATGTATTAATATATTTAATTTAATATTACTTTATTTCTATCGGTTAATATATGTGTTGTTTTTGTGTTTTTATATTTCGTTCATTTCCTGAGGACTTGTAATTGATAGACAGATAGAGATTGAGATTAATTGAGAGCAAATATCTAGTGACTCTCAAACGCAGAGTATATTACTTCTAACACACATTCATTATCAAAGTTTTAATTTAAAAAGTTATTAATATTATCGCCGCTTTTCTTCCATTCAAATGCCATTTATTTAACACATTTAGTGGTATTTTTGTGGAAAATTTTTATCCGTCAAAATAAGATCATTCATATGATTGCAATTTATATATACGAAGAAAAATGTAAAAATTATTGGGTGTCTATGCGTTAAGATTAAAGGCTGAGCCTTATATAATATAAGTTATATTTCAACTCAAAAATACCATCATATATAACACTGTATGATATTTACAGTTACATAACAAACTAAAAAGATCACTTTTTTGTTTATTATGTTTTATTAAAGGCATGTGCTATGAATGCTTTGAATGTTTGAACATTTGTCCCTAAAAACGACTTAATTGTGTCCCAATTTTTGTTAACTTTCTTCATGCGATTCACACGTAGTGTACGAACAGTGATATTACATAATATAATGATTGGATTTTAATTTTGAAGTGTTAAACCATAGTATATAATAACATATAATAAGACTTCTCAAAGAGATTTGAGAAGTTGTGTCTAATCTCTTATGGGAACAGTTTCTCACAACAAACGCCTTTCCACTTACGGCTGAATTAAAGCCCTATTTTTGATGCGGTTTTCTAATGAGAAGAAAAAGAGTGAAATTTCTATTCAATTAGTTTTTTAGGAAATATTATGAAAATTTATTCATTAATTCAATCAGAAAAACTCCTCTGAAGTAATTAATTCAAAAAATTTCCTTATATTTGATGGTTTAGTGCCATAATATGGCGGTCGAGGAAACCAATTCCAATTGTTCTTCGCCTAAGACTCAGGAAGAATATGCCGATCGTATCACACGATTGCAAATGGAATATCTCATACCTTTAAAGGAGGACCTGTCAGGTATGTGTCAATACATTTCAAGACATTTCATTCCTTATGCAATACAACAATGAATTAACAATATATGTCTGATTTATTGACAGATTGGCTCAACAGAATACTAGGTAAGTGTTATTCACTTCTTACATCAATATACTGTACTTTATATACCAATAATGTCTTTATAAGTATTTCTCAATTGGCTGTCATGTCCCTAAAGTTTATAATTATTTTACTTAAAAACAATATTTTTCATGACTTTACATAACATAATCAATACTTCAATATTTTGCAATTATTTTAATGCTAAGAATTTTATTATTTATTGCTTTTTGGAAGTTTTGTTATTAATAATTATAAAAAAATAATTTTTATATGACATTAAATATAGGTTGTTATTATTAATAATAATTTATTAATTATAAACCATGTGTTTTTGAACAAAAAATGTTACGAAATTTTATATAAATTATTGTTTTTGTTTCATTACTACGAGAATATATATTATATAATTTACAAACATTCAAAACACACATTTATTTCAATATCAACGATAAATACAATCTACATTTGAAATGCACGTATAAACTTAATGTTCGTGTTTTACAATACAGATATTTATAGATTATAAATAATTTAAAACTTCATTTTCAATTTGCAAGTTATATAAAGTATATTAAAAATACAGTAGTTATCGTTTTTAAGACAACAAATCTAATAGATTGTTGATATTTTGTGAGAAGGGATGATAAGAATTTAAATATTTTGATTAACAAGTTTTTATTCATTGAATAAAATATCCAATCGATAAAAGACTTTATAGATTGTAATATAATTCATGACATCTATTCAAACATAAAAACTTTTTCGGTTACACAGAAGTAATACACAAAATAAAAAATACAGATAATGTATATAATAAAACGGTTTAAACATTTACTTTAATTTTTATAACTTTA